ACAATAGATTGTCTCACTCCAGAAACGAAATTCCCCTCCAGTTCCCGCAGGTTATCAGTTGTTCGGGCAGTCTTTCGAGATGCTCAATCGCAACTGGGGCGAGTTTGGTTGGACTTCTTGTATGATCTGGATCTGTTTTGAGCAGAGTTTCGCACTCCACAAACGTAATTTCACTCTTGTTCCAACGGGTTATCTGTTGCTAGGGCAGTCTTTCGAGAAGCGGAATCGCAACTGGGGCGAGTTCGGTGGGCCTCCTTGTTGGATGTGGATCTTTTTTGAGAACAGTTTCTCGATCTGCAAAGACGGATTTAATAACTAGTGGATCTGTGTCTCTGACGGCGTCTATTCATGTCGCATCGCCCTCAAGTTCGGATCCCGGCCCACTTGCCGTAACGGAATGTGCGTTGCTGTGTTTGGAAGTTCAGATCCCAGCGAACTTCTCGTTTTGCTTATATGCAGTTGCGGAGTGTGCTTGCTCGAGCACGGTTCAGGAACGCTGGCTGCATGGCCTGGCTATGTCTCTCTCGGACTTTCTTTTAGTTCGGATCCCGACGAACTTCGCGTGCTAACCTGTGTCCTCGTACGGAGGCCACATGCCCGCTGATTCCCGTGAGAAACGCCCAAATTCAAATTCCACTAGCCGAACTTCGCGTGCTAACCTGCGTCCGCGTGCGGAGGCCACAGGCCCACTGATTCCCGCGAAAAACGCCCAAATTCAAATTCCACCAGCATCCGTGCTTCGGAAATTCCCGATGTGGATGTCGCCCGGTCACTTGGCGTGAGTCCCCTTATAAAGATTGTTCGCGCAGGGCGGAGGTTTTTCAAGGTCTTCGATTTCGAAGTTCGCTGGGATCTGAACTTCACGATTTTGAGACGACGTGATGCGCCCGACGTGTTAAGCGAGATGTTTGCCACCTGTGTTTTTGACGTTTCGTTGCCGCCTCCGTTGTGGTTTGGCAGCGACTTGACGATCTCTGGTGGTTTGCTTTTTTTGCGTTGTTGTTCGCAGGCACGATGTCTTCGTCGAGGGCCGAGGGGGAGCCTGCGGGGACCTCCGGGATGGGATCAGGGAAAGATTCCACAAAACGTTCGTCTACGACCTCGAAATCGTGGTCGGACCACTCAAGGTCGAAATGGTTCGTCAACTGATTCTGTGGGGATGCTACAGACCCAGTTAAATAGCCGTGTGGTCCTGTGATCTTCGTCGAAGCCAACAAGCGCCGTAGGGTTCTAGGGGTTGTCTTGCGGTGGGAGGATGCGAAAGGCAGTCGTCGATGATTCCATATGAAAAATGTTTACGGTGCGAAGGGGAAGGTCGTCGCCGATGCCAAGGGGGCGCTTCTGGACATGGATTTGTTCAAGGGGTTCGGAGCGGGTGCTGCAAACACCCCATTCTACAGTGACCTTCGGCGGCAGGGCGGGTCTGTTTTGGGTCGAGAGTTCTTCAACCTGTTGGAGGAGAAGGACGTCGGCCTCGACGTCCCTTGCGACGTCGGTCCAGACCAGGAGTTCTCAACGCCCTTGCAGCTGTGCGGCGGTTGTGAGTCCAGCGGGGCTGCGCGGGAAGGGGGGGATCTAGGTTCCGGTGAGGCTACACAGCTGCAGCGGGAGGAGAGCGGTGGGCAATTTGACGACAACGAAGATGAGGCAACACCGCCTCTGCCGTTTTCGCCGTTGAGCACAATGCACCAGTCCGTGTTGTCCATACCAGGGGTCCGGCAAGAGACCCCGGTTTGACAAGAGGTCGCAGAGGGTCTAGGAAAAGAGCCAGTCCAGTGTGGGCCCGACTTGGAGCCTGCCAAGTGCCATGGCACGAACGACGAGGCCGTGGGCGGGGAGGGAACGCAGGGGACTCCCCAAAAAAAGAGGGGAGATCGTCAAGAGGACTTGGTCGGCTCTTCGAAGAAACGGAAGACAAAGACACCGAAGATTGCGGGGGAGAAACGGAAGGGAAGGGGGGGGGAAGAGGACCGCCTGGGTGGCAAGCGTCCGGCTTCTAAACATACGGAGCCTTTATCGGGACCTTCCTCGCCACTGCCTGCCATCGATGTGGACGTCGGGTACTTCCTGGAGTACAAAGACGGCGTTAGGACAAGGCGGGAATTTGAGATTAGCCCGGCTCGGATCGTCAACCTCGGGGAGTGGGAGGATCTTTACAACCAGCGGTCCCTAGATCCTGTCCTGGTGGGAACGATAAAAGAAGCGATGCGGTTTGTGTTCGAAAATAAAGAACAGACGTACGAGTTGCCAACTCTCAAACTCCTACCACTGGGGCTTCAAAAACGAACTCCAGGGACCAAGGCACAACGTCTGAAGCCGGAGGAGTGGAAGGACGAGCTGGCGGGAGAATACTAGTACTATGCGGTGTGTGGGCAGCATAACGCGGATGCAGCCCGGTCGCTGCTCGGCAGCGACGTGGCCAAGAGGTACAATTTCAAGCGGTGGTCGGCAGAAATGGTGTACTTTTCAGACCATGATTTCGAAGGGTATTTTCTTGTTAGTTCACAGGACAACAAAAAGGACCTGAAGGCACCTCCCAGACAGTTGAAACTGTCTATGAAAGACATTCGGTGGCAGTGGAAGCATGACGGTTGCCCGAGAGCTGTAATGGGGATCCCAAGCGGGAAACAAGCTCAGGTCCAGGATTGGCGTAAGTTTTGTACAACGGTGCTCCATAAGGCGCCGCACAACAGCTTGTGGATTCTAGCGGATGAAAAGGGAGAGGTGGCCGTTAAGAAGCAAAATGCTGCCCTGCGTTCTTATTTCCCTCTAGCGATGGCCGAAGATAATGTCTGGAGACTGGCCGTGGAGTTTTTCGAAAAATGGGAGACGGGTAGATTGCTGAGTCACGACGGAGCAAAGTGGATCGTGAAAAAGAAGGTAAAAAACGTGAAGCCTGGGGTCACCTACATCCCCAACGACAAATTGGGCAGAACGGAGGTGGTCTACAACGTCCCCGTGGAGCCGCCGACAAAGAAGGGCAAAAAGGAGAAAGAGGAGGGCGATTGGTTCGTGCACGGACCGGACCCGGACGCGCATTTTTGGAAAGCGATGGAATCACTCACCGACAATGAGAAGTGCCGCGTTCTGAAGAAGGTGCTTTCTTGCGAGGTCGTTTAGGTCCTGTCTGGCTCCCCGTCGTCGGCGAAGTTAGGGAAGCTCAGCATTCAGGACATGGTGCAGTTGGTGAAGCGCGACCGCGTGTTGGTCCGGTTGTGGAATTACTACCAATTGAAACACTAGAAGAGGTCGGACGTGGATTGGATCCAAAAGTACCCTTTCCTGAAATTGAGGTCTGCCGTTTTCAAAAAGTTCGCAGATCAGGGATTGGATGACGAGTTGTGGGACAACAGCAAAAAACACGTTTCTGACTCGGCGCTGTTCAAGGACTGTCCGCCGTACATGGGTTGCAACCAGGACAACTCGATTGAAGTGACGGAGAAGTTGGCGGGCCACAAGAAGTTGTCCATCGACTGGAGAAACAAGGTTCTGTCGGTGTTGAATGGGAGCAGATTGAAGAGCCGGGAAATTGCACTCGCCGAAGGCATTGTGCACATCAAATGGAAAGACACGGGGGACGTGACATCCATCGCACCGTTCGGTAACGACCCTTTGGAGGCGAACGTCAGGGGCGCAAAGCTGAAGGAAGCAGTGGTGCCTAAAAGAGCCACAAGTTCGTCCTCGATCTATGCAAGCCAGTTGACCTCAAACTGTGGAAACCCCAAGCGTAGAAGACTTTGAATTCCTATCTTCGGACGTGGTGTCCGTCGCATTGGACTCTCGTCGTTTTCGTATCGCGGCAGCACAACCTCTCGTTTCTCGCCAGCATGCACCATCTTTCTTTCGTTAAGCTGTTGGAAGGGAAGTGGGTGCGGAGAGATCGGCAAAAGAAAAGCTTCCCCGTGGGGAACAATTTGTACGCGGAGGACGACCGCATGTACATCCTCTTCAAGGGTGACGATCTGCGCGTTAGCACGTCCGTGGTCTACGAAGGAAAGCTGCCTTATGGTGCCGCTGCTGCGGTGCGGTTGCCTCAGAGGGTCACCCAGACGGATGTGTCCGAGATTCCCTTCACACCTTGCGACTGGTCGCTGGTGGCGCCGGAACGACAGGGCAGTGTCTACGGGGACATGAAACGTAATCCGACACAATTCATCGGTCTTCTTGAGTTCCTTACCAAGAAGGGAGAGGGTGTGGTCTTCCTTGGGAAACCGCACTCGCGAAGCGTCTGGGATCGGCACGTCGTCGCGATGGAAGGGAATTCCGACCTTTTGCAATTCACGATGCAAGTTGTGAAAGGCGAGGTCAATTTGGGCGGACATAATTGCGAGTTCATGGTCGTGAAGCCGACACAGGATCGGGTGTGGAGCAATAATACGGACATGTGGTTCAAGTTGAGTGAGAGGGAGAGGAACAAGATATACGATTTCTTGTTTCTTCAAACGTGGCCGAGAACGGACACTTACGCCGAGTACGTCCGCCGCAAGGACCACATGCTTGCACTGCTCGACAACTACCACTTCGCCTCCCGCATGAATGCGAAGACGTTTCTCGAAAGGCTACAGTCGTTGTATTTCGTGGAGTCCGAACAGCAGTTGAAGTTCGCCAGTTACTCTTCCTTGATCTCCACTGATGATGAGGAAGCCATAGGTGTGGAGTTCGTCGCCAACGCAAAGGAGGAGGAGAGCGACACCGAGAGCCTTGACCTGCAGTACGACCCATTTCCGACGGACCACGACCGGGGGTCCTCGTCGGCTGGTCCGTCATCAAGCGCTGCAGCCCTCTTGTCACCGACGGCCAAACTGGCGCCTGGCTCCACGCGGATGAAGTTGTTGGAGAGACTCAAACCTCTGGCCATCCCCCCACCCGCTTTGCGTCCCGGGTCCGACATCCCGCCCGATCATCCGTCTTTGAAGGATGACAACATCCACTTCCTGCTCGAGCCACAACGTCATTCGCCTGAGGTGGACTGGGCCCATGACATGATTTGGCATCCGGGAGTCATCCAGCCAGCGATACAGAAAGGCGAGTCGGTCGTGGCCGTTGCAATCTAAGACGAGGGATGGGTGTCGCTCCCGCGCGAGTGGAAGTCGAACTTCCTGCACCTCGCGAGGATTTCGGTCCTCCAGAAAGTGAGGGCCGAAAATGTCACGTTTGTACCCGACGACCAGACTGTCATTTCCACAGCCGGTCGACTGTTCGACTTCCTTCAGGACAAGTGCTGGTTGGAATTGACGGAGGACTACTACGAGCTCGACACTAGCCCGTCGAAGGGCGTGGTGAACTGGAAAGTGCCCCCTCCAAGTGGGCCGCACGGCAGTTCCTCGGGGGGGTCAACTGGAGGTGGAGGGGACGGGGGTGGTGGTTCGGGGGGCGGCAAAGGAATCCTGCCTAGTGGGGAGGGAGGGTCACACGGCCTCAATACGACACCGGTAGGCAGCGGTGGGGCGGCGGGTTTCGCCGTCGACAGGCCTCCGTCGACAGGCACCTAGCCGGAGCAGACGACACAGTCCGCCGACCTTCCGACTTCATCAGTGGGCTCAGTGAGGGAGACGTTGGCAGCTTTGGTTGCCCTAGGCAGCAGCTCCGGCGGAAAGTTGAAGTCCGCCGGGATCCGAACTACATCGGGTGAGGAGCGGCCAGAGCGGTCTGGACTGCAAAGTCGCTCGGGGTCGGGGGAGCCAATCCAGGATCCCGAAATTGGCAGCATTGCGGCGCGCGACGGAAAGGTGTCGCCTGAGCGGGGGCGACGCCCGCAAGGATTGCGGCGAGAGGCTGCATGTACAGGGTCCGAGCGACACGGAGACAACGAAGTCCGCCGAGATCCGAACTTCTTCGGGTGGGGAGTGTCGGCCAGGGAATGTCGTGCCTCCGAGAGGGGCAGCAATCATGGAGACGGAAGGGCGGTCCTCGGGATTCAACACGGGTGTCGGGGAAGGGGATGAGTTTCGTGGAAAAGAAGTGGGGGAGGAAATGGAGGAAGGGAAGAAAGCGCCCGAAGGGGAGGAAGAAGTGGAAGAGGAGGAGGAAGGGGAGGAAGCAAGAGAAACGGAGCTCATTGAATTGCTTGAAGGAAGGGACGTTGCCGGAGCTGGAGACGACGAAGTGGAGCACAGTGAGGAGGCTGCCGGATCTGGAGAGTCGTCTGACGATTTCGGACAACTGTACGGAGGGCATCATGAGGATGATTTTGATGACAATGCCACCGCAATGGAGATGGAGACACAGGTAATTAGCAGCCTTTCCGCAGAGCCTGAAGATTATGCGCTCCGACCACTGACCTCTGCAGTCGACTTGCAACACCGGTTCGACGAGGCAGCCTTTGCTATTAGCCCGTCTAAAGCAAGTCGTTGTATAAGCATTGACAAAGTTATCGACAGTATCCTCGGCGACCATCACATGTCTGCCCATCCGTCAAGAACGCAAGACGTCGACGACGCTGGCAACGTCACATTTTGCGTGTCAGCTGCCCTCGCTTCGTCGCCGCCGAAGTCTCTGATCCTGCCGCCCACCCTTGCCGCCGGAGGGGAAGGCGAGGTCAGGGGACGACAACATGTCACGTCCACAAAAAAATCCAGGGTCGACACTCAAGCTCTCGACGTGCTCGCTTTGCCCGCGCCAAACTCCCCGTCGAAGGATCGGAGAGAAAAACAGACTTGTAAGCCGTGAAGAACGCCACACCGCCTGCGCGTCCTGGATTACGAAATTGAAAGAATGGAATCCGTCGTAGTCCGGATGTTGGCGGACTACGGTCCGCGCCACGCACATGACGACTGTCCACACTGTCGGTCGATACGGGAAGTTTTGGATGCCGGCATACTACACCCAGCGGCCCTTCCAAATATATCTCATCGGCTAATCTGTGAGTCAGTCGGGTTGCTGGTTGAGGGCAGCGAAAACTTCGTCGAAAACCTAACACTCCATCTAAGGAAGGATCTGCCCAGGCTAAGAAAGTGGCCAATAACATGGATTGACGGTTTTCCCTTTTCGGAAATAGTGTAGGTTTAAGTCCGTTGGGATCCGAAATTCCTATGTGGCATGATGTGGTCAGTCTCTGTGGGGCTGGTGTGTTGAAAAATCCGCCGCAGTCCGAACTTCGGGGATTGTTGGCCTTCGGCTTCTGTGAGTTGTGGTGGTTTTCCTATGTTGCAGTCGTTTTGTTTTCCAGTCGCACACACGCACCTAGGTGCACATGACCACGCGAAATAAGGGTCCTATGGTAGGAGAGGTCCTGCTTCAATGTTGCGTCTGTACGATAGTATGGTTCTCACATTGTCACTTTCGTCGGATTCGTTTTGGGAAACGTGTATTTATTTTCCGTTCTATCTTTCTTCTGTTGTACAGGAGTGGGGTCATCTCGAACACGGAGGTCCTTGAAATATCCAGAACACATATTGCAGAAAGTCCCCGGGTTGACTACAAAACACAAGGATATGTTAAAGGCATCAGGGGTTGATGTCGAGATTGGGAAAAAAAAGTACACCGTTGCCATTGAGGAATGTCTTTCCCTTCTTGCCCAGAGAAAGGGACATATCCACGATCTGTGAGTAGGGGTCAGGCCATGTATGAGAAGTACTTAGCAACGCGTCATGCACCGGAGGACAATTCCTAGAACTCCGTTTCTCACTACCCCAAGTGTCCTTTGATCGATGTTGTGCAGTGCGGGCTACAAGTGCAGCACGCGGGAAAAGGTTCGCTGCAGCGACTGCGCCTCTGAGCTTGGGGGTTTTGGACGGCGTTATACGAGCCTCGGTGCCACCTAACGTTGTTCTCTCCACACTGGTCGATGGTCAATTTCGGATTCCAGCAAATGATCTCCTCACCCTCTTGCACATCGACGACAGGGTGAATGATGAGGTGGTTAATTTCTATATGGCGTTGTTGGGGTTGACGGCATGTGGGTCACGTGACGTCTCGTCAGGGGTTCAAGTCTTCAACTTTAATTCGTTCTTCTTCAGTAAACTGCAACTTCAAGGACACGGTGGGGTGCAGAGGTGGGCTAAAAACGTAGATTTGCTTCATTACGATATTCTTTTCGTTCCGGTCCACAAAGATGATGATCATTGGATCCTCCTTTCCGTCAACATGAGAGATGATGTTCTTGAAATTTTTGATTCTTTTTCCTCGCGTTGTAGCTGATTCGAGTTTTTACATTAGTGTTTTCGGGTTGATTGTGCAATATTTGGAACATCAAACATCACATAGCCGGTCGGGTAGAAATTGAAAGTCGAGAGTGGGAAATGTTGTGGTGGATGGAGTTCCGAGACAAGTGGATGGAGCTAGTTGCGGGGTAATCATGTTGATGTTTGCGACGTTGTTGCAACGTGGAGATCGAGAGCCTTTTCGGTTCTCTTGTAAAGAAATTCCGCTTCTTGGACGACAATTAGCATCATGTATCTTAGAACATCGTTGTCTTTGATGGATTTGATTGACTTCGAAATTTTTTGTGAAGGTATTTCATTCGTTGTTCATTACATTTTGTAAATCGTGACATTATTGAACTGTGTTTTATCGTTCTGAGTTTGTCTTCGGCAAGCTCATTGCATGTCGGGCGTCATGTATGGACTTTGGGATCTATGTCACGTCGCAGTCGTTTCTCATGTAGCGGAACATGTCATACAATATGTTCCATGTTTTGAGTTATGTTCAACTACAAGTATTGTGTTCCATGTTCAAATTCTGTTGAAGTATAAGGCAACACCATGATTGTCAAATTAGTCGGTGGATGCATGATAAATCTCATCTTATGTCTGATAAATCTCATTATTCTGGAGGCATTATAAATTGGTCCGTAGATGCATTAATAAATGTAAGGACCTGTTTCGTCATGTCTCTTGCGTGTGGATAGAATCACATGCCTTGTGACCACGTGCATTACATGTAACCAACAACCTTGCGTCTCTGCCCAAACCTTCTTTGCATGACCATTTAAAGTGCGGATTTTCAGCGTGAATAACAAAAATTTAAAGTTCCACACTTGTACATAGAATGTCAAAATTAAGTGGTCGCTACGATACACCTTGTCCACCACAACTGTAAACAAGTATGGATCTCAATGCCCTTATGTCGGCGAGATGATGAGCATGCCTATGTGCGGAGGTCCGGATCTCTTCAACATCCAAACAACCGTCTCGGGCAAGACGATGGATATGCTTGCATAACTTACGGATAACCTAGTAGACGAGAATTTAATGTGTTAACCAACAACGGTTCAATCATGGCACCTTGCTCATCACATATATAAGCTTTGAGTTGAACAAGTATGGATCTCAGCACACTTCCGCACACTGTTGGGGTCACAACCCTTCTAAAGAAGTCCGGATCTCATCATACATCTAAACAACCCTCTAGAGGCAGATGATAAACATGCATGTGTAACTAGGGGATAACCGAAAGAATTTTACTTTCCAATTCAATCTGATTACATTGCTCATTTTGTTTACAAAATTGAACAAGTATGGATGTCATCAAACTTTCACATTTAGGGCGACTGGATGGGCGTGCCTACGTAGATACACTGCAGTCAAAAATGAATTTGTTAGAAAGAGGACAGTGTCACAATATAATGTCTGTCATCGCATTTATAAAATTGAAGTTTGACAAGTAACGAACCTAGCACACTTCCGCACAGGGTTCCTTGTTTGGCGTGCCTATCATTATTCGTTTATGAAGTTTAACTAGTATGGATCCCAACACACTTCCCCACAATATCACCAGCACGTTATGGAAGTTGAACAAGTAAGGATCCCAACACACTTCCACACAGGGCTCCTGGGTGGCGTACCTAACATGTGTTTTTCTTTTATAAAGTTTCACAAGTTCTGATCTCAGCAAGCTTCTGCATGTGCTTAAGCCCAGGATGGGCGGGCGTATGTTGCTTAGGTTGCAGCCAAAAATGAATTTGTTAGAAAGAGGACACAGTATAATGTCCTATTTTAATGAATAACATGTTAAACACCGATTCTCCCCATCGACAAAGTAAGCTCGTGCGGCGATTCAGTCACAAATTTTGTGATCCGCGATGATATTGACAGTTATCAGCAGCACAGTGAGGTCGCGACAGTCCAGGCCGTTGAAAAGGGCGGTTAAATGTACGCGAATCCTCAAAGTCTGTCGGGATCTTAACTTGGCGGTTGCTGGAGTGGTGAGGAACTGGTTTCTGCGTGGCACGTCGGGTATTGGAAGGGTGGGTCAGGAAGTGCACAGAAGGAACGCTATGCGCGGGTGCACGGTTAGGGAGGCCTTGCTGCTGCTTACAAATGCCTGTTGGACGAGAGCACGCACAGAAGGAAGGCTAGTCGCAGGTGCACCACGTTAGAAATTGGCGCAGCGCGGCCCCCAATAGACCCCTAGGAACACCGATTCTCCCCATCGACAAAGCGAGCTCGTGCGGTGATTCAGTCACAAATGTTGTGATCTGCGATGATATTGATAGTTAGCAGCAGTGCAGCGGGTGGGACCCCAAGTTCTTCGCGGCGCGGAAAAGAAAAATATGACCATGGCTGGTGGACCCCCTGCAACTCCATAAAACCACGATTCGTCTAGTCGACAAGGCGAGTTTAGATTCGCTCGCTGCCAACGTCGACACATGACAGCGCGAACCACAAAGCACGCCGAGACACAGGAATGTCAGCGACCAGAGTGCACGCATGTCGATGACAACACCACCGTCGTCGATCTCCTTGAACCCCTGTAAGGCAATTCTCAAGGCTAGTATTTTTGCGCACCCAAAGGTCTCTGGCGACCAAAACACATGCGAAAGTCGAGGCCGTTGAAAAGGGCGGTTACATTTACGTCAAACGTCAAAGTCCGCCGGAATCAGAACTTGGCGGTCGGCAGAGTAGCGAGGAACCTATTTTTGCGTGGCAACTCGCATATTGGACGGGCTGGTCAGCGGGAAACACGACGGTGTAGCTGTTTCGTGAGCGGTTGCAGAGGACGTACTCTGAAATCCACATCTAAGCGTCAGTGGACCGAAGCAAAACCCTTTGTTAAGCATCCTCAAACAACCCCCACGAACCACAATTATTCCCACGGACAAGGAGAGCTCGCACTCGGGCAACGGCGGGCAATGGTACGTTTTACAGCCAGAACCAAGGGGTTCGATGAAATTGGCCAAGATCCGAACTTGCCCGCGGCTTCACAGAGTGACCACGAACGGGTGCCAACCGCCAAGTCCGCTCGGATCCGAACTTGACAGCGATAGGTGTGTGTCGATCGAGAGCTAGACACATTTTGTTTTCGCTGCGGGCCCTGCGATTGGACTTTTTTTGCGGCAACAGCAAGCGAAGGCCAGTCTTGTGGGACCCAGACAAATCCAATGCAGCCAGGACCCCGAAAAAGACCCCTATAAACCGTCATTAATTTCCATCTGAGAGGGCCACACAGGAAAGGGAACGCCCGCGCGGCCGCGAAGAGCAAAGAACACCGCAGATTCGCTTTGGGTCATATTGTGCGCCGACACTGGATGTGTGTGATTTCAGCGATGCGGTCGAAACAGCGCTCCTTTCCAGGAACACAACAATAATCACCTTAGCAGCTGGCGTCTTCGCATGCGCCAAATTGCAAGTCCGCCTGGATCTGAACTTCGTGTTACCGCCAACGCGCGGTGGCAAGTGGCAGGGCGTTCGGAGCTATCGACCCCACCCCCGAAAGCTGGAAACCCTGTCTCGCAGAAGCCAGTCATCAGGGCAATAAGGGACGTAGTT